TGGCTCCCGCTCTGGCTCCCGCTCTGACTCCCGCTCTGACTCCCGCTCTGACTCCCGCTCTGACTCCCGCTCTGACTCCCGCTCTGGCTCCCGCTCTGACTCCCGCTCTGACTCCCGCTCTGACTCCCGCTCTGGCTCCCGCTCTGACTCCCGCTCTGGCTCCCGCTCTGGCTCCCGCTCTGGCTCCCGCTCTGGCTCCCGCTCTGACTCCCGCTCTGACTCCCGCTCTGACTCCCGCTCTGGCTCCCGCTCTGACTCCCGCTCTGGCTCCCGCTCTGGCTCCCGCTCTGACTCCCGCTCTGACTCCCGCTCTGACTCCCGCTCTGACGAAAATACAGGCGAGTTCCCACGGATCTTTGCGAGTTCCGCTAATCTTTCTTCGCCCGTGCCGGCACAATGCGCCACTGAGCACAAACCATTCATTTGAATACGGCGCCATCTTGGATCGCCGGGGCTTGGTAGTCCCGAGGAAAGGTGTAAAATGCCAAAGTGCACCGTTTCTTGAAAGTAAAACAAAGAGATACAAAATTGTTTACTTTTTTCCTTGCAACATTCACGAGGAGAAAGGGGGAGCTTTTTGCCGATCATGATATCAATATGTAGCAGATAAAACCTCGGAGAGACTGACGTGGCTCCTCCTGAGAAAGCTTTACATCGTCTCGATTGAATGCATTCTAATGTTGTTTTCAAAGTTCTGTGTTTGCGATTCATTTTCTGGAGGGAAAAGCAAAACTGAGAGATGTCTGATGAAATGTTTAGCACCGCAGCCTTATCTGTTTTATATACAAAGTCAGCCCATACGAAACCCTGGCAACTAAACCGTGGATTTCCTCCAAAGTGAGTCCCGTCGTCTCACTTGTGGATGCATTACTTATTAGATGGATGTTCTGTTTTGATGTGCCTCAGCAGGAGTTGGTTTAGCTCTCAAAGTAAACAGTTCACGCTCGACTGAGTCCTCTCTGAAGTCCGGGACCAGAGCAGGGGCCCTGTCGTCTGGGGACTGAGAGCCAGAGGAGAGGCCCTGTCCAGACACGGGCCCACGCTGTTAAATGCACCACAGAGCCAGGACAAAGGCACGGGTACACACTGCCCAAAGTCCCATCACCACCTCCTCCTCAGCAGCTCCACATACTCACAATCCAAGCAACAAAGTCTAAGAAAGGATTTTATTTTACAATTTATGCAAGAAATCAGATTCATTTATTTGTCATTTGCAGTAAAACCACATTGGAATACATTTGCTAAAGTCCCCAGTGTGCACAAGACAAGTACATACACAAAACAACATTAAAAGTACAGAAATAAAACGACAAAACAGTAAACAATTGTCACTGTGAAAACGATCAACCAAAACAGTTTCAATACAAAGACAAGAACATTAAAGTGCTCTGTTCAGACTGATAACAGCTCGTGGGAAGAAGCTGTTAGCATATCGAGATGTCCTGCATCTCAGAGAACGATATCTTCTGCCAGAAGGAAGAAGCTGGAACATGGCTTTTCCAGGATGGCCAGAAGAGTCATTGATTGTTCTAAGAGCTCTCTCGGGTCTCTCTCTGGTCTCTCTCTCTGGTCTCTCTCTCTGGTCTCTCTCTCTGGTCTCTCTCTGGTCTCTCTCTGGTCTCTCTCTGGTCTCTCTCTGGTGTCTCTCTCTGGTCTCTCTCTGGTGTCTCTCTCTGGTCTCTCTCGGGTCTCTCTCTGGTCTCTCTCTCTGGTCTCTCTCTGGTGTCTCTCTCTGGTCTCTCTCTGGTCTCTCTCTGGTCTTTCTCTCTGGTCTCTCTCTGGTCTCTCTCTGGTCTTTCTCTCTGGTCTCTCTCTGGTCTCTTTCTGGTCTTTCTCTCTGGTCTCTCTCTGGTGTCTCTCTCTGGTCTCTCTCTGGTCTTTCTCTCTGGTCTTTCTCTCTGGTCTTTCTCTCTGGTCTCTCTCTCTGGTCTTTCTCTCTGGTCTCTCTCTGGTCTCTCTCTGGTCTCTCTCTGGTCTCTCTCTGGTCTCTCTCGGGTCTCTCTCTCGGGTCTCTCTCTCGGGTCTCTCTCTGGTCTCTCTCTCTGGTCTTTCTCTCTGGTCTCTCTCTGGTCTCTCTCTCTGGTGTCTCTCTCTGGTCTCTCTCTGGTCTCCTTTCTTTATCTGTGATGTCACCAAACCACACAGACACAGAACCAACAAGTAAACTCTCAATGGTGCAGCGATAAAAGTGAAGCAGAATCTTAGAGCTAGTGCTAAATTATCTAAAGTAGAGACGCTGACGAGCTTTCTAATAAGTTGGGCAAAAATAATTTAAAAGATGAGGGAGAGTCTGTAATTATCATCATTGGTTGAAATCTTTCTCTTTTAAATTCTTTATGTTGTGCTTTTCGACTTATTGTCTACTTTTAACTGTGTGTTGTTATGGTTCTTACCTGCCTAAGGACAATGGATACAATTTAGCTCTTGTGCTAATTCCTGCATATTCATGTTGACGCTGTTTGCAGACACCTTGATTAGAATGTACTGTCCTGAACTCAAATAAATAAACCAATCATAGGTAAAAATCCAGAAAATAACATTATGAAGATTTACAGAAAAGGTTTGAGCTCTGTCATTGGCAACATTTCCCAAGAGAAAACTGTAGAACAAAGTATTGAGATTAATTTTACTTTATTTTCCAAATTCTGTGATTTTCTGGATTATTTTTCTCATTCTGTCTCTTATAGTTGTACCTATGATGAAAATTACAGGCCTCCTTCATCTTTTTAATTGGGAGAACTTGCACAATTGGTGGCTGACTAGATTTTTTTGTATTTTAAAACATATTTATGAAAACGTATGAGGCCAAATCCATGCATTCAAACTCATTCCAATTTGTCTTTATGTCATTGGCAGCTTCACAAGTGCAATTTGTCTCTGCTTCATGTTCGACCACCACGCCTAACGCACAAAAAAGTGATATTTAAAGGGCCTCAGTGAGTAAATTTGGCGGCACGGTGGCTGAGTGGATAGCACTCTCGCCTCTCAGCAAGAAGGTCCTGGGTTCGAATCCCGGCCGGACCAGGGCCTTTCTGAGTGGAGTTTGCATGTTCTCCCCGTGTCTGCGTAGGTTTCCTCCGGGTACTCCGGTTTCCCCTACCACTAAAAATATGTACAATAGGTCTGGCATGCGCCTCCTGTTCGGCGACCCCACTCCCATCTCTGTGTGGAGTGAGAGACAAGTGCCCAAAAAAAAATAACAATTGTAAACCGCTTTGTGACTCTGGTCTGTGAAAGGCGGTATATAAATAAAGATTACTTACTTACTTACTTACTAAATACAGCCTCTTTCTAAAATGCATTTGATTGATTACATGTTTAAGATTTTAAAAGTTCTACTGTGGGTCTACGTCAAAACCCAAAATGGTGCCAGTGATGTGTGTTTTTTGTGCGCTATGCTATATATAATTTTGCGTGTCATTTTCAGGAAGCAGCATTTTGACGTATTGATCCATTGATTGACAGAAAAGGGTCACTTTAGCAGCTGCGTCACTCAAAACTGTTGATACCTGACCTTTACTGTTAAACTATTCTCTCTAATCTTCAGATCCACCTCCTGCCCATAAAGCTTTTCTATGCATTTAATAATTCCCTTTATACATTTCAAACTGTTACACTCCAAAAAGTGATGAAAACAAGTGAAAAATTACTAAAATTTGACAAAATGTATCTTAATTTGAGTACATTTTGACTGCCTTAAAACAAGATTATCCAATGAGACGCACAAAGTTATCTTAGAATGAGAAAATAAAGGAACAGTTCTTGAAATCAGACTAAATGGCTTTGTCCCGTTGGAAAATCTTGTTTTAACACAGTCAGAATGTGTCAAATTAAAATAAAAACGCTCAATTCAAGCAGTTTTTAAAAAATGTTTTGCAAAATAGCAGTTTTTTTTGTTGGACGTTTTTCTTTGTTCCCAGTCCCAGGTCCAGAGCAGCACAAAGAGCTCCTCAGCGGCACATTTTCTCTGGCACCAAAACAATGCATTCTCAGGAGACGACACTTTTATCAAGATCTGTCAAAGAGGCGACATTTTAGCCTCGTCACGACACCTCGGCCTCAAAACCACCGCTGCTGCTCACCAAAGTCTCCAGGGCTGAGATCTGGTTATTCTCTGGTTATTGTCTGGTTATTCTCTGGTTATTCTCTGGTTGTCTGGTTATTGTCTGGTCATTCTCTGGTTATTGTCTGGTTATTGTGTGGTTATTCTCTGGTTATTCTCTGGTTATAGCCTGGTTATTGTCTGGTTTTTGCCTGGTTATTGTCAGGCAGGTAGACTCCCACGAGCAGCAACACTGAACCACAGATGAAATGTAGAAGATTCTAATCAGTGTCAGTATTTGGGGCAGTTCTTTTGCTTTGGCTCATGTGTGTCTTTTCTATGGTTTTGGTTTTAACATAAGGCTGTATGTATTTTAATTAAAATTACATGTACATATTTTATATGTTTCAGTCCTGTGTGTCTCCAGATAATCCGTGTCTCCAGATAATCCTTTTCTGAACAAAAGTTATAACTTAATAAAAAATACAATAGTGTTCAAAAATATTTATTAGGATTTTCAAGTCCGTTTTCCAATCAGAGCCCTCATTTGGGTTGCCAGATTATTAGGAGAGATATAGCATGTCTTGGCTGTTGACAGAAATTGGGACCACACTTTTGTTTGAATAAAAGCACTTACAAAAGTCGTCCTAGTTTGTGCTGTTTCGGCTACACTCCAGCAGGTGGATTGCATCAGTAATCAGTGCATATTAAACATTATTTGTACTGAGCAGTTCTGCCATTTTGTGCAAGACGAAATGGCAGAACTGAAGAATACTTTTGATTGGCTGAAAGTTATCAATCTTTTTACAATTTCCCAGACCTGGCAGATTGAGGGAACCAAACCCCTGACAATATGAACACAATTACACCGTTAATTGTTAATTTTAATCATGAGGCAAGCATCTTATTGTAACTACAAATCTTTCTAATTCCTTTTTCCTTGTATTTTCTTTTCCAGGTGCCTTTGTTCACCCCCACAGCAGCACCATGAGCAGCACCATGAGCAGCAGCGTTTCCGGCGACAAGAAGCCGCTTGTGGACTACGGCGTCCAGATCCGGTTCATCAAAGACCTGCACGACGCAGGTGGAGGTCTCCCGGACAAAACCAAAGCCCAGCCCACCTCCGCCCCCGCCAACAAGTACGGAGTGGCGGTCCGGGTTCAGGGCATCTCCGGGCAGCCGTACGTGGTCCTCAAAGATGGAGAGAAAGGAGATTCGTATGGAGTACAGCTCAACACTCCCACCACTCCTGGCTCCGGCCCACCTTCGCCGTACAACACTCTCTCAAACAGCAAAGAATCTCCGGATTTTGTGAACCCGTACAGTCCAAGTGTCACCACCACACCCTCCCCTGTGTCTCCCGCGGAGGAGGAGATGGGGGAGATTTTCGGGAGCCCTCTAAGAAGACCTCCTGGAGATGGTCAAGCCGGGACACAGGGTGAGGACGAGGTGGCAGCCAGTAAGAAGCCAGAGGAACACTCTAAAGCTGCGATTAAAGCCAAAGAGCCAGACAAACCCCAAACGAATGGGGAAAAGTACAATGAAGCTGGACTAAAACCAGTTAGACCAAACGGACTTGGACCGAAAGCACCGAAAGGGGTTGCAAGATCTAGTTTCTCGCTTGGTAAACTCAACTCCTCGCTGGACACGTTTCCAGAACTTCCCAAACTAGACGAGGAAGCCCCAGTCCCAGCCATCGACACAAACTCATTAGCCCCTATAAACAAGCTCATCAGTAAATTCAACTCAACATCGGGGAGTGTCCAGCAAACCAGGGGGCGCAGTGGAGCGAGGCAGCGGCTGAAATTCGAAGAAAGGCGACGGTCGCGAAGCCTGGATGCAAGAAAGGAACTCAAACATGACATTCCATCACCGACATCTCCCACGATGAACCCCTACGGCCCACCCCTCTCCACGTGCGCAAACTCTCTCTCAAGCAATAATAGTCTTAGGACGTCTCCGGCTGTTGCTACGGTCAACGCACTGGAGGCCCCAAAACCAGGCTATAAGCTGCAGGGGAAGTCAGTTGCCAAGGACACGCCGCCAGCCATATCAAAAAAGCCAGTAAGTGTCATTTCGGAGCTATATTTAGCTTTTAATATGCAACTTTCGCTCAACTTTTGTCATGGTTTGTGAAGGAGATTCTGGCTAGGAGCGGGAGCACAGACGGGGACGAGGCTCAGATCAAGCTGGCGATTCTCAACGTACTCAAAGAGGGGTTCGTCAAACAAGAGGATAAACTCGTCAAGTGTCGTTTTGCTCATTTGTCATTGAAATGTATTTTGTGTTTTAGATCCAGCGAAAGTGAAATGGTGCTGAGAAGAAAAGCCGCTACTGTTTATGAGACGACCAAAAGTATTAAGGTAGGATAGTCATTACAAACAATTGGATTTATGAATGGGTGTGGTCTAGAACACGCTGCACATTACAAAAGCATGAACGGTATTCACCAAGTGGTTTTCATAACGACTATTGTAGTACTTCCAAATCCACTTTTTATAGTCACTACTTGTAATTAGTGGATAACAAGAATTTCCTGGGTTTGAATCCTGATTGGACCAGAGCCTTTCTGAGTTTATTGTTTCTCGGGGATCCCCATTAGCTTCCAATGTGGTTGCTAATCTTCCTGGGGTCCCAGTTAAGACAAATGTATTACAACAAAAACAAAAAAACAATACATTAATTCATTCATTGCCATCATATTAAAGGCATAGATCAAAAGCTCAGTGGACAGAGGTAAAGTCTGTGCAATTCTTCATTATAATGTATGGCTTCATGTCTATTTGAGTTTTCTTTTACAAAATATGCAAATATTGATCCCTCATCCCCCTCATCCCCCTCATCTCCCTCATCCCCCTCATCCCCCTCACCTCCTTCATTCCCCTCATCTCCCTCATACCCCTCACCTGCCCCATCTCCCTCCTCTCCCTCATCTCTCACCTCCTTCATTCCCCCCATCTCCCCCATCTCCCTCACCTCCCTCACCTCCCTCACCTCCCTCATCTCTCTCATCTCCCCCATCTCCCCCATCTCCCCCATCTCCCTCACCTCCCTCACCTCCCTCACCTCCCTCATCTCTCTCATCTCTCTCATCTCTCTCATCTCCCTCATCTCCCTCATCTCCCTCATCTCCCTCATCTCTCTCATCTCTCTCATCTCCCTCATCTCCCTCATCTCCCTCATCTCCCTCACCTCCCTCACCTCCCTCCTCTCCCTCCTCTCACTCCTCTCCCTCATCCCCCTCATCTCCCTCCTCTCCCTCCTCTCCCTCATTTCTCTTATCTCCCTCATCTCCATCATCTCTCTCATTTCTCTTATCTCTCTCATCTTTTTCATCTCCCTCATCTCCCTCGCCTCCCTCATTCCCCTCACCTCCCTCATCTCCCTCATCTCCCTCACCTCCCTCACCTCCCTCATCTGTCTCATATCTCTCATCTCTCATCTCCCATCTCCCTCACCTCCCTCCTCTCCCTCCTCTCCCTCACCTCCCTCATCTCCCTCATCTCCCTCATCTCCCTCATCTCCCTCCTCTCCCTCCTCTCCCTCATCTCCCTCATCTCCCTCCTCTCCCTCCTCTCCCTCCTCTCCCTCATTTCTCTCATCTCTCTCATCTTTTTCATCTCCCCCATCTTCCTCACCTCCCTCATTCCCCTCACCTCCCTCATTCCCCTCACCTCCCTCATCTCCCTCATCTCCCTCATATCCCTCATCTCCCTCATCTCCCTCACCTCCCTCATCTCCCTCATCTCTTTCATCTCTTTCATCTCCCTCATCTCCCTCACCTCCCTCATATCCCTCCTCTCCCTCATCTCCCTCATCTCTCTCATCTCCCTCATCTCATCTCCATCATCTCTCTCATCTCTCTCATTTCTCTTATCTCTCTCATCTTTTTCACCTCCCTCACCTCCCTCATCTCCCTCACCTCCCTCATCTCCCTCACCTCCCTCATCTCCCTCATCTCCCAAGATATATTGTTATATTGTTAAGAACAGTTTAGAAACCAGACTTTGCGCCTTGTTGTGTACATCTTGCAGGTGGAGTTTGCATGTTATCCCCGTGTAAACATGAGTGAGGGTGTTGGTCGGGGGCTTTGACGTGTCTCGCATCCGTCATCAATGTGCGGATAGAATGGAACAATATCTAAACTCTCAATACTGCCCTATAGTAAATAAATATTACAGATTACTTACTAAACGTAGGTGGCTATTGGAGTGGATATTCTGCCTTTTGATTGCCCAGTCAAACCCTTAGTAACCATTAGTAATCCACCTTTCTCTCACGATGGAGAGAAAGTTGAGTGAAAAGAAACAAGGCTTTAGCATCGGCCTCAAAGGTAATTAGTTAGTGCAGAATGCGTGTTATAATATCGGCTTTACAAAAGGGTCAAAGGTCATCTCTTCTCCTCCAGTCGCTGTAATGAAGCTGGCAGATGGTGGGCGGCCTCTTTATGGAGATATGAAGTTTCCAATTCACTCACTTTACCCGTGGGGCTCTCATGTTCCTCGTCCAGGTCTATGATAATTAAACGCTACACTGTCTTCTCCACCGATACCACCCCTGCTCCGGAGACACTTGTATTAAAAAAACACAGCATTTCAACGGGAAACTACCAACCGCGCTGCTTCTGAATTTGCATATTTCCTCCGAGCCAAGCATGCTCTCGCTCATGTCCACTTGACTATGTATGATCCCTTGTTATGGAGGGTGTTGGTGGTGGCGTAGAAGCAGAGGCCATTTTGCACGTTTTGTTTCGCAGCAACGAGAGGTGCGTCGGGGCCGTCCTGTCGGGATGAGGGTGCAGTCGCAGAGAGGCATCAATAATTGAGTTGGACTGAAAACCTGTAGCCAGCTGGTGGTGTAGAGGCTTAGGCAGCAGGGGTATGTCCGTCTTGTATACGGAGACTGGGAGCCAAAGCTGCATTTTAGAAACTCAATTTGGTAGATGGAAGTGGTCTTTCTAACAGCCGCATCGAGCTCTTAAGACAAAATGTGTGAGACTATTCCCCCCCCCCCCCCCACCCCCCTCCCCACGACCCCTCACTGCCTTTTCCTTTAGAGATGTGATCCCAAAACATAACATCAACACTGTCAGGCAGGATTTAAAAGTTTTTATTTGAATCCATTTCTTCAGTGATTTTCTCCCACTTGTAATTTAAATATAGAAAGTGATTTATTTTGACGACTATTGGGATTCATAATCAGGCATTTGTTGTGGATTTACCGTCTCTCAAATCTTCTGCACTCCTGAAATGAATGTGTGTTTTGTTGCGAGCGGGTTTGGTGCGAGATTCTCAAAGAAAGCTCCGAGTGGATCCAGACAGGAGTGCTTTAAACGGCTACGAAGACATGTAGCCCTGTTTCCACCAGCCCTACTGAGATAATGCTTTTATTTTATTAGATTTGATTTGTTTTTCAGATATTTTATTTTTATTTCACTTTATTTTGTTTTATTAAGGTTATTCTGTTTATTATGATTTTTTTTAAAGTTCCTAATTTGGAATATTTTTTTATTGACTTGTGTCTTATGTGTGTCTGTAAATGCCTGTTGTGTGTCTTGTGTGTGTTGGTGAATGCCTGTTGTGTATCTGTGAATACCTGTTGTGTGTCTGTGAATGCCTGTTGTGTGTCTGTAAATACCTGTTGTTTTTCTGTAAAGGCCTGTTGTGTGTCTGTAAATGCCTGTTGTTTGTCTGTAAATACCTGTTGTGTGTCTGTAAATACCTGTTGTGTGTCTGTAAATGCCAGTTGTGTGTCTGTAAATACCTGTTGTGTGTCTGTGAATGCCTGTTGTGTGTCTGTGAAGCCCTGTTGTGTGTCTGTGAATGCCTGTTGTCTGTCTGTAAATACCTGTTGTGTGTCTGTGAATGCCTGTTGTGTATCTGTGAATACCTGTTGTGTGTCTGTGAATGCCTGTTGTGTGTCTGTAAATACCTGTTGTTTTTCTGTAAAGGCCTGTTGTGTGTCTGTAAATGCCTGTTGTGTGTCTGTAAATACCTGTTGTGTGTCTGTAAATACCTGTTGTGTGTCTGTAAATGCCAGTTGTGTGTCTGTAAATACCTGTTGTGTGTCTGTGAATGCCTGTTGTGTGTCTGTGAAGCCCTGTTGTGTGTCTGTGAATGCCTGTTGTGTGTCTGTGAATACCTGTTGTCTGTCTGTAAATACCTGTTGTGTGTCTGTGAATGCCTGTTGTGTGTCTGTAAATACCTGTTGTGTGTCTGTGAATACCTGTTGTGTGTCTGTGAATACCTGTTGTGTGTCTGTGAATGCCTGTTGTGTGTCTGTAAATGCCTGTTGTGTGTCTGTGAAGCCCTGTTGTGTGTCTGTGAATGCCTGTTGTGTGTCTGTGAATACCTGTTGTGTGTCTGTGAATACCTGTTGTGTGTCTGTGAATACCTGTTGTGTGTCTGTGAATACCTGTTATGTGTCTGTGACTGCCTGTTGTGTGTTTGTGAATGCCTGTTGTGTGTCTGTAAATGCCTGTTGTGTGTCTGTGAATGCCTGTTGTGTGTCTGTGAATGCCTGTTGTGTGTCTGTGAATGCCTGTTGTGTGTCTGTGAATGCCTGTTGTGTGTCTGTGAATGCCTGTTGTGTGTCTGTGAATGCCTGTTGTGTGTCTGTGAATGCCTGTTGTTTGTCTGTAAATACCTGTTGTGTGTCTGTAAATGCCTGTTGTGTGTCTGTGAATGCCTGTTGTGTGTCTGTGAATGCCTGTTGTGTGTCTGTGAATGCCTGTTGTGTGTCTGTAAATGCCTGTTGTGTGTCTGTAAATGCCTGTTGTGTGTCTGTGACTGCCTGTTGTGTCTCTGTAAATGCCTGTTGTGTGTCTGTGAATGCCTGTTGTGTGTCTGTAAATACCTGTTGTCTGTCTGTAAATACCTGTTGTGTGTCTGTGAATACCTGTTGTGTGTCTGTGAATGCCTGTTGTGTGTCTGTGAATGCCTGTTGTGTGTCTGTAAATACCTGTTGTCTGTCTGTAAATACCTGTTGTGTGTCTGTAAATACCTGTTGTCTGTCTGTAAATACCTGTTGTGTGTCTGTAAATACCTGTTGTGTGTCTGTGAATACCTGTTGTGTGTCTGTGAATGCCTGTTGTGTGTCTGTGACTGCCTGTTGTGTGTCTGTGAATACCTGTTGTGTGTCTGTGAATACCTGTTGTGTGTCTGTGAATACCTGTTGTGTGTCTGTGAATACCTGTTGTGTGTCTGTGACTGCCTGTTGTGTGTTTGTGAATGCCTGTTGTGTGTCTGTAAATGCCTGTTGTGTGTCTGTGAATGCCTGTTGTGTGTCTGTGAATGCCTGTTGTGTGTCTGTGAATGCCTGTTGTGTGTCTGTGAATGCCTGTTGTGTGTCTGTGAATGCCTGTTGTGTGTCTGTGAATGCCTGTTGTTTGTCTGTAAATACCTGTTGTGTGTCTGTGAATGCCTGTTGTGTGTCTGTGAATGCCTGTTGTGTGTCTGTGAATGCCTGTTGTGTGTCTGTGAATGCCTGTTGTGTGTCTGTAAATGCCTGTTGTGTGTCTGTAAATGCCTGTTGTGTGTCTGTGACTGCCTGTTGTGTCTCTGTAAATGCCTGTTGTGTGTCTGTGAATGCCTGTTGTGTGTCTGTAAATACCTGTTGTCTGTCTGTAAATACCTGTTGTGTGTCTGTGAATACCTGTTGTGTGTCTGTGAATGCCTGTTGTGTGTCTGTAAATACCTGTTGTCTGTCTGTAAATACCTGTTGTGTGTCTGTAAATACCTGTTGTGTGTCTGTGAATACCTGTTGTCTGTCTGTAAATACCTGTTGTGTGTCTGTAAATACCTGTTGTGTGTCTGTGAATACCTGTTGTGTGTCTGTGAATGCCTGTTGTGTGTCTGTGAATGCCTGTTGTGTGTCTGTGAATACCTGTTGTGTGTCTGTGAATACCTGTTGTGTGTCTGTAAATGCCTGTTGTGTGTCTGTAAATGCCTGTTGTGTGTCTGTGACTGCCTGTTGTGTGTCTGTGAATGCCTGTTGTGTGTCTGTGAATGCCTGTTGTGTGTCTGTGAATGCCTGTTGTGTGTCTGTAAATGCCTGTTGTGTGTCTGTAAATGCCTGTTGTGTGTCTGTGACTGCCTGTTGTGTGTCTGTAAATGCCTGTTGTGTGTCTGTGAATGCCTGTTGTGTGTCTGTGAATGCCTGTTGTGTGTCTGTGAATGCCTGTTGTGTGTCTGTAAATGCCTGTTGTGTGTCTGTGACTGCCTGTTGTGTGTCTGTGAATGCCTGTTGTGTGTCTGTGAATGCCTGTTGTGTGTCTGTGAATGCCTGTTGTGTGTCTGTGAATGCCTGTTGTGTGTCTGTGAATGCCTGTTGTGTGTCTGTGACTGCCTGTTGTGTGTCTGTGAATGCCTGTTGTGTGTCTGTGAATGCCTGTTGTGTGTCTGTGAATGCCTGTTGTGTGTCTGTGAATGCCTGTTGTGTGTCTGTGAATGCCTGTTGTGTGTCTGTGAATGCCTGTTGTGTGTCTGTGACTGCCTGTTGTGTGTCTGTGAATGCCTGTTGTGTGTCTGTGAATGCCTGTTGTGTGTCTGTGAATGCCTGTTGTGTGTCTGTGAATGCCTCGCTGGCTGCAGTGTTGTGGTTAAGTGTTAGTGGGAGGATCTCCGTAACTCTCGCCGTGAGGTCGTCACAAACATCTGCAGTTCAGCTTTGACAGGATTCTCAACACATTTCACAAGTGTCTATTCTTCATAATGTGTGTGTTTTATCTCACACACAAAGGTATTGTCAAAGGTAGAGTGTTTACAGAATAGCTAGACTTGAAGAGAGTAAAGAGGTGTTGTAAAAAGGCACAGGTCAACTGGCTAAA